ACATATGCCCCAAATAAGTAAAAGGTTCATAACATGGAACTTTTAAATACCAAATAAAAATTTACCCAAGTTTTAAAAATAAATAAATAAATAAATATTCAAGGAATTAAAGGAAACCAAGTTAAAAGGATTAAAGAAAAGCATAATGATGAAGATTCATCAGAGACTATTAATAGAGAGAAATAACATAAAAAAAGAATCAAATAAAAATCCTAAAATTAAAAAGTTGCAATAACCCAACAGAGAGTCCAGGAGCACATGGTTTTAGTGGTGAGTTCTACAAAACATTTAAAAAAGAATTAATACCAATTTCTATCAAACTTTACCAAAGCTAGAAGAGGAGAAAGCAATTTCAAACACATTTTATAAGGCCAGCATCACCTTGACACTAAAACCAAAAAAGGACACAACAAGAAATTTCTAAGCAAATATTCCAGATGAACACAGATGCAAAAAACTTAGCAAAGTATTAGCAAATCAAATTCAACAATATGTGAAAAGGATCATATACCATGACTAACTAAGATTTATTCCAGGATGCAATGATAGTTTGACAACCAAAAACCAATCAACGTTACATATACCATGTTAACAAAATAAATAATAAAAATCATATAATCATCTCAATAGATGACAAATTATCAACAAGTGGCTATGGAAGGTTTGTACTTCTGCATAATAAAGACCATGTATGACAAAAACCACAGCTAACAGCATAAGTAACAATAAAAAGCTGAAAGCTTTTTCTTTAAGATCAGGAACAAGACAAGTATGAGGTATGAGATATATAAGAAAACCACTTTTATTCAATACTAGAGGCCCGACACACAAAAATTTGTGCACTCGGGGTGGCGTGGGGGTCCCTCAGCCCGGCCTGTGCCCTCTAGCAGTCTAGGGCCCCTCGGGAGATAACGACCTGCTGGCTTAGGCCTGCTCCTGGGTGGCAGAGGGCAGGCCCAATCCCTAGGTGCAGGCCCTGGTCGGGCTCAGAGCAGGGCCGATTGGGGAGTTGGGGCACCGCCCCCTGTCATGCACAGAGCAGGGCGGATCGGGATGTTGCGATGCCACCCTCAGTCACGCTCAGGGTAGGGCCTATTGGGGGGTTGGGGCACCCCCTCCTGTCACACTCAAGACAGGGTCGATGGGGAGGTTGCGGGCCCACCCCGTCAC